TTTTTTATCTTTATTTTTAGGAAAACCTACAGGATTTCAGAGTAATCTTCATGCAATATTAGGTAACGGGCCTTCCTTCCTCCTCTCCTTCCTGCCTGCCTTCCTTCCCCAGAATTTTCGTTCCTTTCTCTTCTCAAACTTGCCGTTCCTTTCAGTGAACTGGTACGCAGGTGGCAGTTCCAGCGCCAGCATCGAACCTGGAGCTTACAACAATTCCAGTGTTTGTTGAAGGGGCTGGAGTGGGAAATGAAGTAATTCTCTGTGTCCTTTTCCACAAGATCTGATACAGATCTGTGTCCCACATTGGTAGCTGATCTTCTCCATTCATGAAGCAGCATCAACTGCTGATGCGTCTTGCAGAGGAGGACTCTAGGAAATGCCCAGAGCAGCTCAGGATGGAAGGATAGGAAATTCCTGCTAAGTTAGTCTCTCCTTCTCTGCAGGCATGGAGAACCAGACGGAGGTGAGGAAGTTCATCCTCCTTGGCCTGAGCAACCTCCAAGGGCTGCAGCAATTCCTCTTTGTGCTCTTCCTACTGCTCTACCTGTSCAGCCTGCTGGGGAAYGCGGCAATYCTGGTTGTAGTGGTGTGGGAGCCCCGGCTCCACACCCCCATGTACTTTTTCCTGGGCAACCTCTCCTGCCTGGACATTTTCTACTCCACMGTTACCGTGCCCAARATGCTGGCCGGCTTCCTCTTGGGGCACCCSCAGGGCATTTCCTACAGGGGCTGCCTAAGCCAGCTCCACTTCTTCCACTTYCTGGGCAGCAGCGAAGCTTTGCTGCTGGCTGTCATGGCCTACGACCGCTTTGTGGCCATCTGCAACCCCCTGCGCTACACCCTGCTCATGAGCCCATGCGTCTGCGTCCTGCTGGCTGCAGCCACTTGGGCTACGGGCTTCCTCCACGCTCTCCTGCACACGGTCATGACCTCCCAGCTGCATTTCTGCGGCCCCAGCCACATCCACCACTTCTTCTGTGACATCAAGCCTGTGGTGAGACTGGCTTGCGACAGCAACCAGCTCAACCTCCACCTTCTCAGCATCGTCACGGGGACCATTGTGATAGGGCCCTTTGTCTTCACACTCTTTTCTTACCTCTACATTTTTTCCTTCCTCTGCTTGAAAGTCGAGTCCAAGGAGGGAAGGAGGAAAGCCTTCTCCACTTGCATCTCCCATCTCACGGTAGTTGCCTTGCTTTATGTCCCTGTCATTTCTAACTACGTGCCACCTTCGTCAGGGAGCTCTCCCAGGAGGGACATGATAGCCACTCTCATGTATAATGTTGTCACCTCAGTGCTCAATCCTCTGATCTACACTCTGAGAAACGTGGAGGTGAAACGTGCCCTAAAGAGAAGACTTTTCTCCAGAGCATTACTGGTACAGAACATGTTTTTCTGTGCAGCTTCTGTGGGGTAGTAGACAGTGGGGAATGTAAGCGGAGGAGCTTTTGGCTGTAGACTGTGTTATGCAGAAATCTGCTTTTCACTCTCAGTGGCTTGAATACCTTCAGAAACACCCCACACATTGGAAATGGTCTCATGTCACCTCTCTTGGGCGGTGTCGATGCTGAAAGAT